ACAAGATCTTCTAGTTACCCAAGTCCCAATATCTAGTGTAGGCTACTGTTTATGAAGATCTGGAGTTTTTCCCATATTTGTTTTCTCCATGGCTCAGAGCTGTATAACAGAACCAAGTCAAGGTTTATATTAAAGATTCTGATCTTATTCTGTTTTGGAGCACCAGGTAGCTTTAAGAGGGATAAAAGCAAACCTAGCTTATATTAATGAATTTTGTATAGCAACATTGCTAACCTTATTTCTCTTCTAAGTGAAGTGGTCAGTGCCAAGGATGTTTTCCCCCCTGTAGCATGATTATGTTGTCTTTCATTATACTCATTACTTGTTTTCATTTTGTTACCAGAACATGATAAAAGTGATTAATAAGTTATTTTTATTGTATTTTCTTAAAGGAATTTTTTTTTTAAATACAGGTTTCTCATGTTCTTTTCTCCATATTTTTTATTTATGAAAATTGGCTAAATCCTTTCCATGCTTAATACATTTGGCTTAGAAAAGGGTCAAAATCATTTCAATGACAGAAAAAAAGCATCTTTGACTTTTACTGTCATGATTATTAACGTGTTTAGGTTTTTAAATTCATTAAAGCTATGTAAATTAAAAGGGCATCAAAAAAATAAAGCTTTATGATTAAAGAATCTAAATGCTTTTTTACACTATTCAGGTTAACCGCATGTCCTGGTCATGACAAGCCAAGTCGCTTAAGGGTTATTTGGGGTAAAGTAACCCGTCCCCATGGAAACAGTGGTGCTGTCAGAGCCAAGTTCAGGAAAAATCTTCCTAGCAAAGCAATGGGCAGACGAATTAGAGTTGTAAGTATATATTTTATCATATCTAGTAAAGTCCTATTAGCTGCATTTGTAAAACTGTTCAGTGTTACACATTTTGATTATTTCATTTCTAGTGTCTACAATCATTAATTTATATAAAAAATAATTTTTAAACTTGATTAATTAGATTTTCTATGTCTATTTAGACATTATTTGATAACTGATAAATAGTACTTTTAAAAAAGTAATTTATACCAGAGAATCAATTGAAGTGTACCAGTATTTTTTTTTTCATCATGAAGCTCAAATTGGAACAATCATGAACAATCCACTCCTAGAAAGAATACATTTTCCTACATAGATCTTTCTTGTGTGTTACAGAATCTTTTTCTTGTGATCACTATTTTCTTTGAGGTTCTGGGCTATTTCCTCTTAACAAGACCTAGTTAAGAATGACTAATGTTGTGAATTCTTTCCCAAAAGACTACAGATCAAAAGAAGTCAAAATGAAAATCAACTATTAAAATCTTATCATTAAAAAGTGCTACCAACCCTGGCTCATGGAAATAAGAACTTAATACATACTTGGCAATAGTTTGCCATGTTGGGCCCTCACCACCTGCACATTGCTAGCTATGGCTGTTTATGATTCATAGAAATTCTTAACATTTATCATTACTCTTTAACTAGATCTGTATTAAATCTAAAACTTTCTATAGAGCAGTAGTCTAGATTAATTTAAAATAAACTTTTAATACATCTAGATCTGCTGAAAGATACTTCCTTCTCAGTATAGCACTAATTTATTTAAAAACTTGAGAGCTAATAAAAAATGTATGGATTAACCCCCAGATCTATATTAGACATTGTTCTAGATTTAGCTAATGTACTTCTTGTAAACTGCGTGTATACTAGATCAACATAGTCATACAAGGAAGTCTTGAATGTGTTTTGTTACTGAACCAGACATGCCTACAGTCCCGCATTATGCGGAACCGTCCCGCAAAAGCATCAAAAAAGTTCACATGTTCCGCCGTTCCGCATTCACGATTTTTTGTTCCGCCAAGTCTGAATTCAGACACACACACAAAAAAAAATCGCCGTTTTTTCATTATTTATTAAAAATGCGAAATGAAAATACTGAATGCAAAATAAAATAGATCTAGGTCTGTGTTTATTGTTTACATTTCATCTCCTCCCGGACCCGGTGTGTCCTAAATTTATGAAGATACGGTTGAGCTAGATCTAGACATAGATCTAGATCTAGTACTCTAATAAGCCAAATGTTCCATTCAAATCCTTTTCTTTTCTCACAATGGCTCTACTAGTCTAGACTAGATCTAGAATCTAGACTATTCAATAATTCATTATTCAACTATTCGTTGCTATTGACGTATTCACCGTATTGTCACTAGATTCTAGATCTAGTATAGTATTGTCACAATTCTAACACTAACTCAACTGGTTTCTTAGGCTTAGGTTTCTAAGTAATCTAAGAAAAGGATTTTTTAAAAATACGTTATTAAAGACCTAGATCTAGACCTAAATGTAATTAATTAACTTAGACACAGTAAGGCTAAGGCCTAAATAAGGCTATAGTAAAATTAGTAAAGTATAGTAGTATAGATCTACTTATTAACTTATTAGTATTATTACATAGTCTAAATTAGTATTAGTTTCTAGATATAGATCTAAAAGTAGGACTAGCACTAGATGATACTAAATCTAGATCTATATAGAAATAGACTTAGAAGATGATAGATTAGATTCAAGATTTCTATGTATCATTATGTAATAAATTTAGTTCTCAATAAGTCTATACTATAGATCTAGACTATAGACATTAATATTTAGATCTATAATATTATTATTATAATCTGTGTTCTTAGACTTAGAGGACATAATTAAATGTAGGTCTAGACTAGTAAGTCACTAGTAGACTCTTAAATTATTTTAGATCTAGAACTAGAGACATCTAGAGTGATTAGAGTAGAGCCCTAGAAAAGGATAGATAATCAAGTAGATCTAGAATAATCTAGATCTAGTCAGTAGCTTTAGATCTAGTAGTAACAAATAAAAATAGTAACATTTGAGTCTAGGTCATTAGAATACATTTTAGTTAGAATTCATCATTTAGGAGTTAGAACTTTTGATTTCAAACAAAGGACATAATTATGAATTAAAGGTTTTCTTACTTTTAATTATAATATTACATCTAATTTATAAGAAGCAAACTAGTATTGTTATTAAAGTAATATAATTGAAGTTTTATTTATATTGTGTACAGTATGGCTAACGAACATAAACACATTTATGTTCCACATTGGGACCCAAAATTCCACATTTTCAACCTGAGTGTTCCACATTCTGGGTCTTGGGGGTAGGCATGTCTGCTGAACTTGCTGTTCCTCATAGCTTTACACATGTGGTTGTTCTTGCTAATAAAAAAACACTTAGCAGCTATTCAAAAGCTTTCTCACTTTTACCAACTGAACCTAAGAAGCATTTCATATTTTACCTTTTAAACACATCACCAGAAGCACTAATCTATCAAGCTTCCACCCAAATGTACAAACAATTGTGATTGGTGATATTTTGTCTTAAGTGCAGTAAAGCATGTTTTGTAATTTCTAGCATCATAGAAAATGCTAAATATGATTTATATTTTAAAATGTATTTAGTGACAGCTTTTTCTGGCATGCTAGTTCACAAACGTGGGTGTAGAAAATATCCTAAAAGGCTTTGTCTGTTCCCAAAATTAAGTTTAAGATGGCACATTCTGAAACCTATGTACGCTTTGCTAAATATTAAAACATGTTTACATATTGGAAATCACCAATTTATGAAGTCTTTTGGACATGCACAAGGTTGTATCTTATGTCTAGCTTTGAAAAAACCACTTAGACAAACATAATGTTATCACCCCATACCAACATGGCTTTAGGAAATATAGATCATGTGAAACACAACTAATAGGACTAATTGACGATTTTTCAAAAGGTTTAGATAATAGTGAACAAATAGATGCTATTTTACTAGATTTTTCCAAGGCTTTTGACAAAGTTCACCACCATAGTTTGCTTAAAAAATTAAAATATTTCAGCATTAATGGTCCACTGCATCAGTGGATTAAAGATTTTCTGATAGGGAGAGAACAAACTGTAATAATAAATGGCTCTAAATCAACACCAATAACAGTAAACTCAGGTGTACCTCAAGGAACAGTCTTGGGTCCACTACTATTTTTAATTTACATAAATGATTTACCAAATAGCATTAGTTCAGGAACAAAAGTCAGATTATTTGCAGATGATTGCATAATATATAGAACAATAAAAACAACACGACACAGATATTTTACAAAGAGAATTAGATGAAATACAGAAATGGGAATCAAATTGGAGCATGTCTTTCCACCAAGAAAAATGTCAGTTGTTAAGAGTAACAAAAAAACTAAAACAAATTAATTCCACTTATCTTATTCATGGCAAACACAGACTAAAAACGCAAAATACCTAGGTGTTATAATAAATGAAAAACTGTCACATATTGATGAAACTACAAAAAAATCCAACAAAGCATTAGGGTTTATTAAAAGAAATTTCTATAAATCAAATAAGAACATAAAACTAAAATGTTATTTAACCTTGGTTAGGCCAATAATAGAATATGCATCCACCGTTTGGGACCCCCTCAACTCAAGAAAACATTAAGAAACTGGAACAAACACAAAATAGAGCAGTGAGATTCATAACAAACGAATATTCACATTTGACTAGAGTAACACCATTAGTAAAATCACTAAATTTAGAAAGCCTTCAGGACAGAAGACTCAAAAGTAAAGTAGCAATTATACATAAAACAATGAACCATAATCTTCAAATACAAAAACAAAACTTAATAAAATACTCTGAAAGACACAAAAATAAAGGCACATTCCTTGTCCCCTATGCTAGGACAAATTTGTACAAATACTCCTTCTTCCCTAGTGCTATTAGAGCATGGAATGGGTTGCCTGAGCTAGCCAGAAAAACCAGTGACTTGGCAGAATTTAAGTCATTGGTTAATATGCATGACTAAATGCATGATGTGTAGGACGTAATCATCTTCTTTTTTGAAGTAACGTCTGTATTATATAAGATAAGAATTGACTGTTAATTAATTTAGTATTGACATTTTTGTTGTTTGGTTTCAGATGCTTTATCCTTCAAGAATATAAGCTGGCAGACTATTATAATAAAATGTTTAACTTAACTTGAAAGTGTTGTGTGATTCTTGAAAGCCTGGAAATTTATCTCTTTAAGACATGGGTTGAGAGCTATTGTTTTTTTAAATCAAATTTAGGCTGATTGGTCTAAAATGAAATAATACAAGTTTGCATAATTGTATTTAAAAAAAAATCTACTAAGACCAAAACATTTCTTTTTTGCAAAATATGTCTGCCTTATTATTGCATCGGTTCAGAGTCAATTTCCTGCCATCTTTTAGGTCTCAACTGGGATGTAATAATATTCATTTCTGAAGGAAGGAAAGAAACATTCAAAATTAAATGTTTTGAAATATTAACTCAGAATCAGATGCTTTGTTTTTTTGTTTTTTTTAAATGTTTTAAGGTGAAGTTCCCTTTTAAGATCTTGTAAAGGGCATCATAATCATTTGTTTTGTGTATCACAGGACAATAACTTAAAGAACAATTCTGAATAAATTATATATATATAAAACATTGGATGTTATACATGTTTTTAAAAAAATATGTTTAAGCAACATTTAAACTCTTTACAGTGATGGGAATTTTCCAACAATTGTCGGAATTTCGATAATTTCTTCTGATCCGATTTTCCAGACATTTTTTTAAAAAATCGATTTTTTTTTTTTTTTTTTTTTTTTTCATTTTTTTAATCCGATTTTATTATTTTTCCATTTTTGGAAGAATGCGAAATAAGATTTTTGAACATGCGTACATCCGGTCTTTTGACACAGTTAAAGTTCTATTTTAAAAAATAATCTTGTGTTACCGTATTGTCTTATAAGTCTAGATCTCGGTCCAGACGAGTGGTTTTAATCAGTCTAGATATATATATTCTAAATAAGATATCTAGATTCTTTAATTTGAATACTTTGATCCAGATCTAGACTTCAATGGCATCATGAATGATGCCCGGTCGCTATGTTACGTATGTAGCGCTGATCGCCGCTATTACTACAATTCTAGATATATTATTTTTTCACTGTTGTTACGATGGCCCCTAGATTTTTCTAATTTGAACCCTGCCTGCCGACTTCCATGAGTTCAAATGGGATTAGATTTCGACATCTAGATCTACTCATCTAAATCTAATAGAGTGATAGACCTACCGTGTACCGGCCATCTGGATTTATATATAGAATATACTTTTTTTATAAAGTAGTAAGTAGGCCTTCTTAAACTTCTTTACATGACTATAGTGAGTTACTGAGTATAAGCCTGATAGAATGTAGATATCTAATAATAATATATTGGATATAAGTAGCTCTAGATTATAGATCTATCTATAGTGAGGGATATATATATATTTTAATATAAAAGTTTAACAATTTTCTCTAATAACTTATCACTAATGCTATAAAAGCCTAGTGTGGTAGAGATCCACTTCTTCTAAACAACTTGTATCAGCATGAAAAAGTCACACAAGGAAGCCTCAATATGCAGTTTTATTGCTAAACTTCCTCTAAGCATTGTTCCTCATCTGGTTGTTCTTGCTTAAGAACTCAGCCGAGATTCAGCAGCTTTTCAAAGCATTTTTGGTGGACTTCATGTGCAAAGCTTAGTAAACAGTTTCTCCTGTACAAAATTTAATAATTAGTGAAACAAACAGAAGTGTAGCTCATACTTTTGAAGTATTTCCAAAACTCAAGCATGATTTTCAAACACATTTAATCCTTATAGTTGTTTGAGAAAGAAGTTGTTACAATATCTATAAAGCAGTTATCTATTATAGAATACTCAGACTGCAAAAAGCTTTCTCCTCCCATCAATATATATACAAACAATAGTGCCATGAATGCATTTTGTGTGCAGTAATGCTCAATGCAGTGGAAATGTTATGTAATACAACATTAATGAAAGAAAATATTAAATAAAATGATTCTACTTTAAGTCGCCGCGACAGTTAAAAAAAACGTGGGGTGGGGGGGGGCTTACAAAATTTCCTAAAATTTTTGCAAAGTCAGTTCCCATAACTGTCTTTAAAAAATGCTGCAATAAAATCTGAATGTGTAGTTGTCTTACAATTAGTGCATTACACCAAAATGGAAGGATTTGTAGGCTATAACGTAACTATACTAGTTTTGAGAAAACCTTCGACTTACTTATTAAATTAAAATTTCGAATCACTGGATCCCCAACACCTGTCCAGTTGAATGTCGATACACTTGGGTGAGATTACTGGTATTTATTAAAGAAATACAGTTATTAGTATTTTCATTCAAAGTGTGAGAAAATGGCGTGTAAATAAAGACATTTGAATTACGATTTTCTTAGTACGGTACACTAGTCCTATTAATACAACTATTACGTACACATTAAAAGTTGACTTTATCTGACTTTGGCTTTTACCTTGTTCAAGTCCAGACTTAAGACTTTGAAGGATGTGATCTTGGAGAAAAGGTATTCTCATGATGTTAACAAATTTCAATATGTAGACGTTAGTATGAAGCTTTGGTCTATAGAAATATTCATAATAGTTTAGTTTTTTTAAATATTAAAAATATGATGCTATAGATAGAACTATTAAAATTCAGCAATGTATAGGATTTACTCAATTCTAAGAGAAAACTCAAGTTTACACAGGCATTGATGCTCGTACTCCTGAAACTTAATACAGACATTAAACCTTGATACAGACACCATAAAGCACTATACTTACACCTCGACAAAACAGACTTTAGCTTTTGAAAAATGTGGAAAAGGAACATCACGTGATTCCCTGCTTAGAATGATTTCAACGTTTCCGTTTAAAGTGAGACCCTTTATAATTGCATTTGCGTCAAAGGCATTTCTGATCATAGAAAAGAAAATGTGATTATTGAAAAATGTTTTGACAGTTTACTGCTGGTGGGACAAAGAATTGTGCGTGTAGCAGTGGTGAGAACAGGAGTGTCTGGGGAGTAAAAAAAAAAAGCTGGTCAAAGAGTGGCGTGATAGGCCTTGCCCTTGTAACTGTTGATGGCTGTCAACAGATTACTCTGGAGATGTCTGGCTTTCTTGTACGGGTGTATTCGATGCACTTAACTAACAATTAATAAGACCTACACATGTAACAATTAGAAGAACTAAGTCCAAACCATTACACAGGCTTTACTGAAGTTTAATGCTGAAAAGACCACGGTCGAGTCTCTGTCCATAATATCAAGTTATCCATTTGAAGTCCTAACACCAATTGACTTTATTAACATAAATAATCAGGAACTCAACTAAGTCGTGGCGTCACTAAGTATCGCGTTCCAAGTCCGTCAGCTATGGTGCGTCTCTTATACTAACTAAATGTCTAACAATGTTAAGTGTCCAACAGTAGGCCTAGTCACACCAGTTTCTTGGTTGCTAAAGCTGTGTGGAAAAAAATGGCTCTTAAATCCGAATCGTTTAATCTATTTTTAAATGTAGTGTAAACAGACAAAAAAGTGTAAACGTGTAAAGGCCCACAGTAGAAAAGGTAATAAATAAATTAAAACTCAATAAACCCGCATCACCTTACACCACACATTATTCCCCCCCCCCCTCCCCCCACTAGTCTAAAGACTTGAAAACTAGTTTTGTATTCACATCGGTGTCTTAAAAAGTCCATGCGATTCGATTCTCATGTCAGTGGAGTCCAACGTCAAAGTTGCCTTCACTGTAACCTGTGTACAGAAAACGAAAATACATTACAAGAAGTGCCAACCACGTCAAAGAAAAAAATCTAGATAGGCTTATTGCAATAAAACACTCTGCTCAACCTGATGGGGAGGTCTGTAACTTTGAAATACAGTAGCAAAGACACTGTGTGATGGGCTATGCAAATTATCAGTCACGCGAACATTACTTAAAACTGGAGTCTGTTTGCCAATGCTTACAGAAGTGATTTCGAGGTTTTCTGTGAAGCATAAGACAATAATTTATTAGTACATTTACATGGACACGCATGAAGTCACACAAGTAAAACATATAAACAAAAATTTAAGTTGTCAGTGTCATTTCATTTAAAAAGTTTGTTTTTGTTTTCAGAGAAACACAGGCGGCCCCGGTGGGTTCGATGTTTGTTAATTAAGCAATGCAGGTAAAAAGGTAGGTATATATAGCTTTATCACCACGAAGAGCAAAGTGCGACGTTCGAGCAGCCCCGATTTTTCTAGAGGTTCGATCGGTTCACTTTTTATTATTAAAACTTTTTTATTTGAATGTTTACAAAATTACTACTAGAATAAAGTGCGAAGTTCGAGCGCATTAAGCCCGCTAGCAGCAATTTTCAAGTTTGGATTTTTATAGCACCGTAACGGTCTGACCTATGAAAACACTGATAGTATCTCTGAATTCCTCGTCCTTTTTTCAATAAAAATAGATTGGATTTAATGTATCACTAGGCTTAGTTAAAATTAAATACGAAGTCAAAGAGGTGTAGGGTAAGTATCGCCAAGCGTACTTTTCCTCGAGCGGATTTTTCCCCAGTTAGTAAGCTCGATCGGGTTGATGGAAGGTTCGAGCAGATCAAAGAAAATATATCTAAAAACATGTTTTAATATTTAATTTTAACTATAAAGTCATTTTCTTTTTACTCCAACGCAAGAACACCATCCATTGCACCATTTCCCACCCTCCACAACTTCAAATAGTCTCTTTAAGCTGATGAGCAATCAGACTTAAAAATAGCCTTAAGCCAGCCCATTACCCATTTCCTTCACTACCGGGTAGTAAAAAAGAATAATTCCACACCTCTTGTGTTTGACCTCACCATGAACTTAGCCTTTACAAGGAAAAGGAAATAGTATGTGTCGAAAGTAAAGAAAAAGGGTGCATGCGCAGTAGCAATATAGTAGTAATTTGGTAAACATTCAAATAAAAAAGTTTTAGCAGTAAAAAGTGAACTGTTCGAACCTCTTGACAAATCGGGCCTGCTCGAACTTCGCACTTTACTATATATTGCTACTGCGCATGTACCTTTTTTCTTCACGTCTGCTACGTTTTGCTTCCTTTTCCTTGACAAGGAAAAGTTCATCGTCAAGACAAACAGGAGAGGTATGGAATTTTTTTTTTTTACCATATTGTAAACAATGGGAGGGGTCATGGGCTTAGGGCTATTTTAAAATCTGATGACTCATCAACTTAAAGAGAATTCTATATTTGGTATACAGACATATCGGGAAACACTTTTGATATAAAAAAATATGTTGTGCATTGAGTGTGAAGTTATTTATTAGGGTTTTTCGAGCTTTACTATAAAACTATAGCGTGTTAGTAAGCTCGAGAAACATATTTTTTTTATCTATTTGTAAAAATGTACGGGTGTTTTGTAGATTATCAGGATTAATATTTCTAATTTAAAAGTGCAGATTAAATCAATATTTAAATGTAATTTTCTATATATGTAGATCTAGATGTAATTTTTTTTAAGGTTTCTAAATTGAATACACTTGACCCATGAAAATGGCTACTGGAAGCAAAAAAGGGAAAGGAGTTGTCAGGTATGAATACGACGTAGAGATTTTGA